TTTTGCTGTATGTTACAGGTTCAAATATAATATGTGCTTTTGTTGCTTTCTAGACCATTTGTATTTTCTTTAACTTTCCTCTTTGATCCAAAGATGTACAGAATTGGGTCTCTCAATTTCTGTGCAGTTATAATAGTTAAATCACATTTTAATTATCTCTAATTTTATTGGATTGTGATCATGGAATGTGGCCCACAATGTTGCTATTTAATATTAATTTTAGCTAATATTTAATCATTTATAATTATGATTAACATTTATCAATTAATAAGTAATATTTTGCCACACAGTGGGCTTTTGTACATGTTCCATGGATAAAAGATTAAATGTACATTCTCTACTTAAAGATTCTATAGTCTGAGGATCATTTACTAATTGCATTATACAATTGCTCTGTCTTTATTTTTGTCTATTATACCTGTCTAGTTCTGAGGGAGGTGTATTAAAGTCTCTATAATTGTTTTAATTTTTATCAAGTTCTCTTTGCAATTCTAATAGTTTCTGATTTAAGTGTTCAGTTCTCCTGGTAATTGAGGCATAGGGTTTATCACCTCAATGTCCTCCTGTGTCTTTTGTCATTAGAGAATATCCTGTTGAGCGCTTTAATGTTAAATTCCTGGCCCTGTCTGACCAACTGACATTTCAATTCATGCTTTTTTGTTTGCTTTTCTTTGCCACCTCTTTATTTTCAGCCATTGTTGTAACTATAATAGCAGATAATTGGGTTTTGTTTTTTTCTGAACACACCTGTATTACAATGGTAGAAAATGTAATCCATTCATATTCCAATAATTATGGATTAAATTGCTAGCATTCCTCCAGTGCTATTTTACTTATGCTGACGTTTACCTTCACGTTGTTTCTTTTTTCTTTCTCCTGATTTTTGCTGAGTTGTTTTCTATTTAGTATTTTTAGTGTTTTCCCCTGAAAGTTTGTTTTTCTCTAGATTGGTATTTTTCTGCCTCTTTTTAGGGGACATTTAGGCATTTCGGTTTGAGTGCTTTCCCCAAACCCAGCCAGTTACACTCAACACTTTGGCTGACACGTGTCACCAGGCTTGAGACCAGCAGGATGTCCTGGGGATGACAGCTCAGTTCTGCCATTGAGCAGTCATAGGACCGAGGGCAAATCACCTGTCCTCCCTGAACATTAAAATGTAGACAGTCACATAACACACAAAGACCAGCCCAACCACGTGTGGGCCTCACTAGCATACAGTTGATGCCCTTATCCCCTACTCTCTCCCTAGGTTTCTGGGAGGAATTGAGCGAGCAGGATGAGGATGAAGTTCATGCCTCTGGCCTACTCCTCTCCAAATTCCTAAAAGGAATTTTTCACCTGAGCTCTCATTTCTGTGGGGTGGCGGAGGTTATACTCTGCTGTCCTCAAGGTTCACAAGACCCTGAGTGCTGATGCTTTGCCTGTGGATATAAGAGCTGGGCCTAGCACCAGAGTCTCCTATCTCCAGTCTCAGACAGAAAGAGACACCTTCTGTTTTCTCTTCTTGGACCTTTGTGTAGCAGAAATGTCCATTCGATAAAGAAGCTGAAATGAGCAGGAGACAGGACACTGGAGGAGGGGCCCAGCGTGGCCAGGCCAGCACTCTGAGGAAGCCTTTATGGGAAGCTCCATCCCATACAAACCCGGAGGCTTGGCTTTTATCACCAGAGCTTAAAACCCAGGGAATCCCTCTGGTTCTGGCCATGTCTTGACTGCTACCACCAAGTCTTGGAGCTTGCCCTCAATGAACTGTGTCTCAGTTCTTTTCTCTCAACTATTTGATAGAAAGCAGAAGTATCATAGATGATCTATTTTTCTAGACCTTTAATTTTGTGATCCTACACAATTCTTTTCACGAAGCAAGACTTTGACTGTGAGGGCAAAGGCTGGGCTTCCTGATACCCTTTCAGACTCCTACGTGAGGACCATGGAATTGATTCTGTGCCTTCTCCTGCAGGCTGTTGCTGAGGCCAGCAACCTGGACAACCACTTAACTCTGACACACATCTGCGGTTCCGGATCCCATGATCTCACAGGACCTTTGGCGTTGGCTCCCTGACCACCCAAGGGTTCTGAGGAGTTCTGCAGCCTGTTCTTCCACAGCAGTGCTCTCTTGTCACTTCATAAAAATGTTCCATCAGCTCCCTGGGGACAGGTGGAAGGGCTTCTTCTCCACTGGGGGTGGTGTGGCCAACACTGGTGCTAAGCGTTGAGGGGAGGCAGGTATGATTGGTGACAGCCCCCCAAAAACCAAACAGCTAACCCCGAGCCGAGCCCTCTTCTGCAAGTGAAAGAACACCAAACAACTCTGTTCAAAACAGTTTATTGTATTTTATTTTTTTTTTTTGTCAGACAAACACATTGATTTCTGGACCACAGTAGAGGATGGAAACCTTTCACAAACTTATTTATTTGAAAATACAAATATAAAATTATACTTTCCACATCTGTGATGTGAGAGACTGCCATCCACATAGTAATTTTTTACAACAGGGCTTTAAGAAAGCCACACACAAAGACCTGAAAGATGCTTGAGATATATATATATATAGATACATATATATGTATATATATAAAAAAAATACTCACTACCAAAGTTGTCATCAGTTTCATACTAAAGTATAAAAGTAAGGGTGAGGTCAGCCACAGTGCTAGGGAAAGTTTTATTTAGATACATTTATGTCCACATGAAACGCTTAGACTTGCATCCTATTACATATGGAATTCCGAGTTTACAATACACCATGAACGGCAGATTGGCTAGCCCACGCTACTCAAGAGGACACTCACAGATTCCACACAGGATGGTACAGTATGTACAGAATACAGTAGCAGAGAGCCTTCTAGGGAGGCTCTGGAACTTTTGTCTCTCAGACCCCATCCCCCGCCCCCCTCGTGCCCCTGCCTCCCGGAAATGAAATCCTGTCTGAGACAATACATTCTGATTATTTGAAAGCCAAGTGTTTGAATTAAGGTTGCTTCCCCAGAGGGGTGGGTTTTATTATATATATTTCTTGTTTTAGTTTACTTATTTTTTTTTTTGGTTAAAAAAAGAAAAAAAGGAAAACAAACATATTACAGTATTAAAGTATTGCTTAACGTACAGCATCTCCTTGTGTAGTGTCTGTGCCCAGGACTGGGCTGAGCTGATTCTGCTGCGTTTCTGCTTAGGGTGAAGGCAGAGGAGCCTACCGGTGGTGTCTCTCTCCAATGTGCTTCCCAGCCTGGGTCCCTCTGCTCACCCCCCCACCGCCTCCCACCTCCCTCCCTTCTCTTCCTTGGAAGTTAGCCCGGCTGGGCTGGTGAAGCACATTCAAGAAAGCACATTCTCCCCCGCTCCCCCCCACCCCCCCAGTCTCCCTCTGTCCCTGCGTGCCACTCCCAACCGATAAAGAGAAGTATGAGTTAGTGTTTCTTTTGTAAACAATTTCATATGCAATATAATACAGAAAGCATGGCTGACCTTCAATAAAAAATGTAGTAAACTATATTGCTTTATTCTTGATTATGCTGCAGTGAGCGAATGGCAGGATGAAGCAGTGTGGTGGTGGTGGTGGCTAAGTCCCTAGCCCTCGTTTGCACTAAAGATCAAAATAGGTTTTGTTTTTCTATATGGAACCAAAAAAAATTTTTTTCCCATAATCCCCAAATGAAAAAAGAACCCCCCCCCGCCAAAAAACCCCCTAAAAACCAAAAAACCCCAACCCAACCCAAAAACAAAACAAAAAAACTGAAAACAAAAACTGAACACCTTTCAGGTCATTAGAACCAACAATTACCCAATGATTTTTATACTAGTCTAGCAAGATGTGTGTAACATTCACTGGCTGTGAATTGCTGTGCAGTGAGACATTAAATTGACAGCAATAGAGCCATGCTACCTTAAAGTCCAAGCTACAAGTTCAAATTGGGATGAAGGTTATGAAGGGTAGAAACGCAAAGGCCTGTCGGGGCTTCGTTTGAATCAAGCCAATGAGCGACTGGGATAGAAAGCGAGTCTGTCTGGTTTTCCCAGTGGGTGTGAGGAAGGCCACAAACCAGGGCTGAGAAGGCTCCTGGGGAGGGGACCGGAGGCTCGGTCATCCCCGTCAGCTCCACGTCCGGGTAGAACCAGGAATGGGTCCGGGAGCTAACGTCACTCACTCCCCTCTGCTCGGGAGGAGAGGAGTTCTGGGGTCCCAGGCAGATGGATCTGGAAGCCAGAAAGTCACCCGGTGGCTATTTCGTGATTCCGGGGGGGAAAGCCATCAGCCAAGAGGGTTTCTCCCCCAGGGAAGGCGAAAGGTGGTTCCCATGTTCGCCATTGAGCTTAACTGAAACAAAGACAAGGCTGAACATCAGTGCTAAAATAATTTACAAAAATCTTTCAAAATGGACTTCTAGATGAATGGGGGGGACTAACGTGAACCTTAACCTAGGTAGCCACATTAAAACATATCAGATTTCCACGAGATTTGTGCTATGGGCTACTGGGTCTCTTCAAAAGGTATTATAAACATCTAAAACATATTCACACAGATTATCAATTTCTTCTGAGCATTCTTAAAAAAATATTTTTTTCTCTTAGTAAAATCATTTTAATATACCATGCCTCCCTCTTTTAAAAAATAAATTAAAAAAATCCAGTTTTGCATATCTAGCATTAGCATTTAAGGTAGTATGGCACACCCCTTCACAGTTGGGGGGGTGGGAATCTACAAAACGCCGTAGAGTCTGCCGGCATTTGAACATCATGAGACCTTGGGTTAGTTGAAACCACATCAGATCAGCAAAAATAAAATAAAAAGTTGAAATTGAAAAACAAAAAATCGAAAGGAAAAAACTGCCCCAAAATTATTAGCATTTTTTTTCATAAATAAGAGAAAGTTCTATCCTTACTGGTCCTAAATCTGAATAACTATGTCTAATTTTTTTTAAACCTTAATTACGTTATACCTATCAATATGTACTAGAAGAAAGAGAAGAAAAAAAGTCACTACACTAGTACCAGGACAGCACACTTACGAGATAGCCATTTTATACATTATTAACAGACAGTGATCAACAAAGAGTTCTTCTATGAGGTGACAGGGGATGCAGAGAAAGGAAGGGTATACAGTACATCACCAACATGGACAAAATAGTAATTAAATTCCCTAGTCTAGACACTGAATTTCTGGGAATTTATTGTCTTTTTTCTTTTTTTAATAAAACTTCTATTTTGTTATTGTATCACTTGAACAAGTTTTGATATTTTAAAAGCGCCCAGCATTTTACTTAACTTGGTTGTTTGGAGATAGAAAGAAAGAAAGAAAGAAAGAAAGAAAGAAAGAAAGAAAGAAAGAAAACAAAACAAAACCAAAAAACCCTCACCAAACAACCGAACATTTAATTGGAAAAACAGGATTTTTTTTTTTTTTTAAATGTCGTTGCTGTTTAATTGGAATTGAAAAAGGCTTTATTTATTTCTTTCTGAGTTAGCATTTTGGAGCCTTTTGTCTGAAGAGGCTTTTGCCCTACCATGTCTGTGAAGGTCTACATTAGTCTACTTTGTTAGTAAAATTTATAAAAATAGTAGGAGTGCAGCAGCTCTTTATAATAAATGTCGCATTCAGTGTCTCATACTGGCTGTGCCTTAAGTACCAAATTTATAAACGTAACAATTTAAAAAATATTAATAAAACGTCAATATCACATTTTAAAAAAGAAAAAATATCTATCCACACTACAATAGGTTTTAATGCCATCTATTGAGTTGTACTTCTATAGTTGCTGTTGCCGACCTATTACCAATATTAAAAAAAAGTTAAATTAAAAAATATCCTTCATCATAAGTATCTTTCCCCAACTGAGGACCATATATTATAACAGCCAAATGTTAAACATGTGCAAACAGGAAACTGTGTTTTTCCCACCAGTCACAGTGCAGCGATGTTTATACTTTTTTATTTTTAAAATTCTGTTTACATCTACAATAAATTAAAAAAAAAATTCTTCCATAGCCTCTCTGGTGATACTTGCAGCACTGAGGTATTAAAAAAAATATATAAACCAAAAAGGTTGCTTTCCTAATTTGTAAATAGGAAGTGAATGGAGAAAAGGTTTCATTAATGCAGGCTTATCTGCCCCTGGCCGGAGGGGGGCCCCCCTGGAGCTGAGGGGGGGCCGGTGGGGGGCAGGGGAGCAAAGAGAGGCAAAGTGTCCTAGGGACCTTTGGAGGTGCTGAAATGGTTGGACAATAGAAAATGATCAAATATTTAAAAATTAAGACTGAAAAAGAATGTCCCCCCACCCCTCCCCACCCAAGCCAAACAGGTGTGCTTTGAAACTTTAAATATGTTAAATATTAAAATTGTAGCTTTGTTTTTTAAAAAACGTCTTGGGAAAAGCAGTTTTTCATATTTTAAATAAAAATCTAACTAGACGGTAACATTTGAAGCTGTGCACAGACGAGAGGTTAATATGCTGGTATGACACTAATACAGTTCTTAGGTCTATCACACAGACAGAAGGAGCTAAACAGTGTTCTAACTTTTCCCGGGGGGGTCGTCCTGGCAGCGGGGTATCCTTCCGCCTGGGAACTGACTTGGTTATCATGCCTTCCCCTCCTCCTTCCACAGAGCATCCAACTGCCTGGGACCGACTCCCTCACAAAAATATTTTTGATTCTCTCTTTCTTAATAGTTTCTATGTAGTTAATGGAATTGTATTTACAACGCTTCTTTTTTAGAATTCACAATTTCAAAAAACCTTATAATATCACCTCTTTCAACAGAAAAAAAGCACTTATAGAAAAGGAGGACACTCAAAACACTGTCGTCCTTACCTTATTGCCGAAAATAGATATACTTAGGTTAACAAAGAGACGTCACAAAAAAGAACTGCTATAGAGTCTGTTAATTAGCCTACTACATCTCACTTCTTATACGACGCAAAGGAGAAAGTTTATGCCCACCTCCCGCTCCGTGGGTGCACAAGCTCCACCAGAAAATCCATACAGTCTCAGAATTGGTACCAAAATATTGAGAGTAATATTACCATCTCAGCATCCTTTAAAAGTGAGAACAGAATCAAAACGAGCAAAAAAATAATAATAATAATAATCTTTTTAAGAAAAAAATAATACCTTAATATAACAATTATACTATGATTAGCTTTCAACTAGATATTAAAGCTATATGACTACAGGACTAAGTCAAAATCACTACCAAATGTGATTCGAAGAGATTTAAAAGGAGAAGGGAGGAAGAGAGAAGAGGAAGGGAAACCATCAAGAAAAACAAAACAAAACCAAAATCATGGGTTATATACACATTTAAAAGCTGTTGTCTTATATTACAGCAGATTCGTGAGATGATGAGATGTAGTCAACCCTCGATCCGAAGTGAGCCATCTCTGGTTGGGATGGGGAGTGAGGCTGGTGGGGGTCCAGGTCTGATGACATCACCTAAACAAAGGGCCACTCAGAAACTTCGCCCAGTCTTGCCTGGACATCCAGGTATGCTCTGCAGGGTGCGGAAGGTCGGGGGTGCCCAGAGGAGAACATAAAGTGGGAAGCAGGAGAAGAGAGAAGACGTGTCAGGCAAACGTACTATTCATTCCAACTTTTTCACTAGTGCTTTCAAAGTACGACTGCGTTGGGCTCCTGAGTATGTCTGGAAACAGCCAGGCTCACAGCTTACTGGGATCATGGCTTGGGAAATCTAACATCTTTGCCACCCTGACACTGGGGAGCAGACAGCTCTGCGACTCATTTTGCTGGCTTGCTATTTTGCTGATCTGATACTGTACTGTTGGATTCTTGGGGGTAATGGCAGGAAATGTGGTCAGCAAATGTGGCCATGCTGGGTTTTCGGCTACACTGGTGAACTGCAAACTGATGAGTGATACTTTTTTTTTTTAAAAAATCTGGTTACACTTCTGGTTTTCAAAGCTAAATGTTAAAAAAAAAAAAAACTGCTTTATCTGATACTGTCAATGACTGCCAATAACTGAGAATGCGAATTTTAAAAAATAAAAAAAAATGATATTTCACATCAAGGACTCAAGGTCAGGGAAAAACATATGCAACAAATAACCAGCTTTGGTTACAGGAAATAAAAACAGGCCCAGGACTCCCAGACTTGCTGAGTCTCCCTGAATCAACCATGAGTGTCTCCTCTGTGGATGGCACTAAATGGCAGAGAATGAAGCCTCTGTTAGGGACAACGTGTGTGTTTTGGTTCCAACATGTCACTCAGTTGGCTCACTTTATCTGTTTTGGAGGGGGGTCGGGTGTTACCACCACTCTCTAGGCTATGTTCTCCTGCGAGAACAGGTTCCTCTAGCTGGATGCTGAGGATGGGCTGGATGCTCTTCCCTCATTCCCACAGTGGCCTTAGAGGGCAGGCTGTGGTGGGAAGCCCTATTCTGCCCTCATTTCTAAGAGAGAGGGCATGGGCAGTGTGGTGTCTGACCTTGCAGGGATCTGCTGTGCCTGGTAGCTGTTTCATCCCTTCCTCATCTGACTCCACAAAGGGCCAGAGCCACCTCCAATCCCGAGTTCTTGGAGTCAACAGTCCACTTTGTTCTCTGAGGAACCCTACCTCCCCTGGTCCCCCAAGCCCAGATTAATTAGTAGTGAGTAGCTCTCCTTCAAACTGTTAGTGGCCTCTGGCTCTGGCCAGCAATGGCTGGGTCAGTGCTCGAAGGGAAATGGAGGTGAGGCGTGGCGAGAATTCACACACGGGGTTTATTTGGTTAAGAGAGGCAGTTGCATTAGTTGAGGTGATTCCTTAGCAGCAACATTAGAGAAATCCAAAGGAGATTTATGGAGCTCAACTCAATCTGGTCCCCCAACTGGGCCCATCCTAGAGAGTCCTGGCTGACTTGAGGGCCTAGAGTAAACCCCCCTCTATGAGAGGTGTCCTACGTACTGCAAACCAAAGTGGCAAGTCCATCTCCAGCCTTTCTTCTCCTATGTCCCCACTCCCAGAGAGAAAGGCACTTATGCCCCAGCTGGGACCCATTCCCACCCTCCGCTGTCATCCTCCCTCTTCCAGAGAGACAGACCCACGTTTCAAGCCCCCAAACTGTGCTAACACAGTATGCACTTAGGTTTCCTAAGAGAACCCCTCTTCCTTCTCGGGGTTCTTCCCAAGAGCAAGATACTCATGTTCCAATGACACTGTGGCAAGAGGCTCCTTCACTGACTGCCCCCATCTCCCCTTCTCCACTCCACCCCTTCCATATCCCCATCAGAGTGATTTGAAAAAAAATGTTTAATTAACTTGAGCTCAGTTTAAAAGGTTAGGAAACTGGCAGGGATCCAAATCCACGTTACGCAGGTGATGTCGTTAATTTAATTTGCTTTTCGTGCGGTAATCTGGATAATTACTCAGTAGTTACTGGCAAAAATGTTTTCTTTTCACTAAAAGATGGAGTCTGGCTGTTTGACCGCATGAACCCCACCAGTTGAAGCCAGCGAGCTCTGGTAGACTAAAAGGGCCCAGGGACCTGAAAGGCCATCTCACAGGACCCCAGAGGGCTGGCCCCCGCCCCGGCCCCCACCCTCAGCCATGGCCAAAGGCCAGGATTCTCCTGCCTCTGGCCCCCTGGGACAGGTACAGCACCAGATCACCTTCCAGTTTCCTATGCTCTTGATTGTATTTCAAGATGGAGAAAGATGAGGGGTGGGGAAGATCAAGAAAAGGAATCAAAAGAACCAAATCAAGAAGAAAAAAAAAAGTTAAAAAAAAGGTGAGGGTCATGATCAAAGCTGTAGAAAGGGATGAGAGAATAAACGACTGGATTTTTTGCCCCCACCCCCCCGAAAAGGGGTTGGGAAAGAGGAGAGAGAGGTGTTGGCGCGATGAGACCAGGGCCCGTGCGTACTTGCATGCGAGCGTGCATACATGTACGACACGCCCGGCAGGGCGGAGACACAGGGCAGAGAAGGTAATACCTCAGAGTGGGATGGCAACAGAAGCACCTGCTCAATGGTATCCATTTGTAAAGGCCGTTGCAATCAAAGGTCCCTAAAATTGCACAATTGTTAAGGTCATCAGCACGCTATACATGGGAACAGATTGTCATATTCTGGGAAAGGAAATTATCTCTAGGACTAGACCGTGGTTGCCAGCATGAATATGTAATTCTGAGACACTGCGCCACAAGGGGCCCGGAGGCCATCCTCCCCAGCTCCGGGCCCTCCAGCCCCCACTTCCCACCCCAAGCCAGAGGCACAGGGGGTGTGTCCCTGTTGGGAAGGGGAGGCCTGTGCCCAGGATGGTGGGCGCTGCTGCCCTGAACCCCGGAGGGCAAAGATAACCAGGGTCTCTGCCCACTGTCCCGACAGCTCCAGCTGGGGAGAAAGCGAGCCCTTGCACAGACAAAACGTGATGCCACGTGTGGTCATTCCAGAAAGGCGCCACAGCACAGAGGTCAAGAGAACCAGGTTTTCAAGAACAAATAGGGTCTGTGTTTCTGGGCGTTGGCAATGGAAATAAGTTGTGCTCTACGTGGTGATAGATGTTCTCCCAAATTGATGCAGCTCTAAACTGAATAATAATACTCTGGATTTGGTACTACAGCTCATCTGAGGGGATTTGACTCATCAGACTACTGACTTAAGTGATATTGGCTTTGGAGTGAAATCATATGGACCTAGACTGCACAGGCCAGGGGTGGCAGCAATGTGCATGTGTGTGTGTAAGGCAGTATGTGAGAGAAAGAGTGTGCATGTGTGTGTTGAGTGTATGGGTGTACCCTCAAGTGAGTGCGTGAGAGCGTGTGTGCATGTACCTCTGTGTGTGTGTGTGTGTGTGTGTGTGTGTGTGTGTGTGTTTTCCACTGCTGGGGTGGGAGGTGGGCAGGGAACGGGTGCCCTGGTGGCCCGGACTGTCTGCACTTGCTCTGTTCTCTCCAGCTCAGCCCCCGGGGCAGGGTTCTCCTGTCAGGGACAGGACCTGGAACAGCAGACACTCCCATCTGAGCCCCAAACCAAACTGCCTCCAAAATGCTGAGGTTGGCTGGAATGGAGGGGGGCCAAATTTCTGTTTCCCGAATGGAAGGGACAGCGAGCGAGTGGGCTCAGGCACATTCATGCTCACACACACCAGGAGGGGAAGAACAATACAATCTGAAAACAGCATGCAAATCTGTTAAGCAAATTTCCATTGCCTGGATTAGTTAGATTATAGAACCACAGAGCATTACAAATATCAAATGCATCTGGCCTTTGCGGGGCTGCAGCTAAAGAACACAAATGGGAACTTACTTGGAACCTGGAAACTGGAAGAAACATTAGCAAAGGAAACCACCTGGGAGGGAGCATGAACCCCACACTGTGTCCCAGGGCCAAGTGCCGCCTCTGGACCTCAGGCCCGGGGACTCTACTGACCAAGGCTGCTATCCTGAGGTGTGTGTGGGGATATTCCCAAGCTCCTCAAGTCCCAGCCCACATGGTTGTCTCCAGAAGGCAGGGGGATCAAGCAGGGGGTGCTGATGCCGAGGGCCTATTATGTGGTAGCAGGTGACGTATCCTATTTCCATTAATTCTCACACCACCTTTGGAGGGAGGTGTATTTATTGTCATTCTGCAGCCAGGGAAGTGAAATTCTGACGGATTATAGGATTATATAAGAGGCTCAAGGTTGCATGGACCGAGGGTCTGGAGTGGGGACCTGAACCTGACCTGCCCACGCTCCTTCCACTCCATCACGTGCTGGTGGCTCAAGAAAAACTTAAACAGCCCTAGGTGGCTGATGGAATGTGGATGGGGTGGGGCAACCCACTGTCCTCTCCTCGGCCCCCAACCCCGGGCTCTTCTGGTCCCCTCTCCCAGGAGAGACAGGTGGGAAAGGAGGAGGCAGCGGGAGGGCAGGGGAGGGAGGTACTTACAGCTATGCCGTGGCCGAAGCCCGAGCCCGGCTGTGGGCTGGCCGCACTTATGTAATTCCCCACTCCGGAGTCCTGGCTGGCAGGGCCGTACAGGTCGGCGACAGGTCCTGGGCTGTTGGCCCCCGGGAAGCCTCCGGGCCGCGCGGGGTTGGAGCCTGCCGGGGAAGCGGGCGCGCCAAAATTCGGTTGAGCACTGTAGCTATTCAGGACTGGTGTGCAGAGAATAGAGCTGGGTATGAGGCCAGAAGCCAGGCATGCACCGGTCATTACAAGCCAAACACTCGAGAAAAACAGCTGAGGCCCAACTTCTAACACTCAACCAAGGCCATGCGAAAACATTAGCAGGGACTCAAGAATACTCAGCCCAGGCTACTACTAAGAAGCTCGGAGCTCCAAAAATAGAGAGAATAAAAAAACAATCATTCAACACACTACGGCAACCAACCGGAGGTGCTTCACTGCCCACCAAATTATCACAATAGAAATAGAGATATATATGGAAGAGAGAGAGGAAAAGAGAGAGAGAGAGATTTGTTTTCACATCTGAATTGGTGCTCATGCAGTCTTGTCTAGATCTGGGCACGTTGAGACAGCATTCACATCCCATGCAAACTACAAAGGAACTAGTTTTAGACTACACATTGTGTTAATATTGATATTAAAACGTGACAGGAAACAAAGCAATTTGTGTCCAGGAAAAAAAAAAATCTTTGGGGAAGGGATTTAAAAATTTGTTTTTTTGTTTCACTTTTTTTCTTGTTTGTTTGTTTTTGGATCCATTAAATGACAAATTTGTTTTGGAAAAAGAAAAAGACAAAAAAAGATCTCCAGTCCTCCCCGCCCCCAAACCTCTTTCCGCCCCCACCCCCACTGGCTACCTCCTCCCCCCACCCCCGTTTATATCCCTGCATGAAAGTCATCACTACTGAACGTGGTCGGAGGATGGGATATGTCATGGAAAATTTGGGCGTCTTAACATAACCCGTAATGATGGTGGCAAGGGATCCCCTTCTGGGGTGGAGAGCAGGGGATGGAGGGAGGGGTGGGGTGGGGATGGCAAATCTGGAGACTGGGGCCGAAGCTGGGTGAATGCCAATGGTTCTACAGGACACCCACACACTCACCTCCTGCAGTAGAAGGAAAGGGGGGGTTTAAACTTTTTTTTCCTTTCGTTTAAAAAAAAAAAAGACAAAGAAGTATGAATGCAGAGCATACTGACCGAACCGATTTACAGCTAAAGCATATCTGACTGAAATGGCTGCTCTCTCTTAACCTCATATAAACTCCAGACTGAGACAAAGAGCTAGGAATGCACCTGTGCTCTAGAGAGGAGACCACAGCCACAGATCCTGAGAGTGGTGGTGAGGAGGGGCAGCGGGAGGAGACACCGCCCGGGCCTCCATCTGTAGCCACCCTGCCCCGGCCCAATCCCATCATTCCTTCTTCAGTGAGGGCCACGGCGGCACCTGGGTTAAATTTTGTCTCATCTTTCATTTCCCCTTAGCAGCAGTTTTCTTTACAAAATGGGGGGAATATTCATTTTTTAATTGCAAAAGTAAGTTCTCATTGATTTTGAAAGCTGAAGGTGAGTCTGGGACCAGCCACTTTGGGGGCTGCGGCTAACCCATGGGGAAGAACCAGACAAGCCGGACACCGCCTATTTCCACGACTTTGGCTCCAAGGCGCCGCTTTTCACTGCCATCTTCTCCCTCTGCTTCCTGTGGCATTTCCCTCTCTGTCCAGTGACCAGCTGCCTCTAACACCTGCAGCCCCACTCTTGGCCGTGACCTTGCCCCAGGGACCTGTGCCTGCGGTCCCCTCACATCTGGTGGGGCTTGAAGAGCTCAACGTGGATTGATTTTTTACCCGCCTGTGCTGGGGATGGGAAGAGGTTGACCACGCAACCCCAGCCAGGCTGGCAGCAGACTGAGATGGGGCACAGAGATACAAAGATCAAACCAAGCAGCATCTGGCTCGTGACTGAGCACAGAAAAAGGGAAACTGATACCTCCAGGTGCCCTTGGGGCAGGAGGCTCTAGAGTGAGGCCCCTGGGAAGCAGGAGCTGAGAAATGAGTCAACTAGCAGATGGAAAAAACAGGTTAAAGAGAAAAAAAAATCACAGAGGCTTAGAGCAAGTGAATGGCTGATTTGCGAATGCACTGGCAGACAAAGAGGGCAGGAATTCTGAATACAGAAGATTAAACTTGCAGATAACATTTGGCCTTTCTCACTCATGGAGGCAAATATCAAGCTGAGATATTCAAAGGCGGTATTATCTCGGTCTAACACTTTTTTTTTTCTTTGCTCTGGGCTAGGGAAAATGGAGCGAGCTGAGCTCAGACAGTGAACTCTGGGTTTAGCCTGGCAGCTGACCCCTGCTATGCAAAGTAACCAGCCAGTTCTGTTTCAGGGTAAAGAGAGGCTAGGGGAGGAGACCCCCCTGCAGTGGAAGATGGAAAGATTTTTTTTTTTTTTTTTTTTTTTTGGCTTCTTGCTCCTCTGGCCAGATGAAGATGCAGGAAGAGTGTGGGCAGGCCCACCTATTGAGGGTCTTAGGAGAAGGGGGTTTGGGTCTTGGCTCCCTCCAGCTGGGAGAGCCACCCAGAGACTAATGGAGCCAGCAGAAGTAGCCTCAGAGACAGGATGGAGCATGCCCATAGAAGGCTGCCGTCCAGAAACAGCCCCCTCGGTGTGCTGGCGTCCTGTCCCAGCTACTACCCCCAGGCCTGTGTGCCCAGGGGGCCAAAGGGATTCCACGGTTAGCAGGATAAGCAGCGCCTCTTAGCCTGCGTATGACGCCCCTCCCTGCTCAGTCACAACACTGAAGGCATCCGATCAGAACACAGCTCTGAAAACTCACGTCCCATTATCGTCATACATGTGCCCCTCACGGTGCCCCACCCCTGCTCAAAGTCACCTTGCGGCTCACCCCCAGCCCCGGGCCGGAGCGGGGTGTGGGTCTCCGCCAGGGGGCGCAGCTGGCAGGAGGTAAGCAGCCGGCCCTGGGCTGGGGGCACGGAGTCGGGCCACCGCGCTCGGCCGCCAGCAATTCCCTCCGTGTCTTTCGGTAGGCAGGAGACCCCGGCGCCAGAAAGCGGGTTAAAGTCCCCAGACAAGCCATCCAGACACCCATGCATCTCTGGGCAGGCTCGCGGCAAGCAAATGGCTCTGACCCCCAGGGAAGAGTAGGGAGTGCCATTTTGCATGCAGTCTGTCGGTAGCTGTTCCTTCTGTCTGGCGGGGGGAAGGCATCAGGGACCAAGGGGTTGCCTCCTGGGGAGTTCCTACTGAACACGGGCTGGCGACACAGAAAGGGGGGTCACTCGAGGACCCTCTCTCTCTCCCTGAGCTGGGTGACCTGAGCAGAGGGAGGGGCAGGCTGAGGAGGCAGATGCTGAGCCCCCCGACCCCAGGGTGCATTGTGTGGTGGTCAGCCCTCAGGCAGTGCTCCGTGAAGTGTCTTGGTGGAGGTGCCTTTCCCCAGGCACCCAGCCTCATCTGGAGGGGCCAAACCACTCCCCCAGGCCAGGATTGGGGTGGGAAGAGGGGATGGAACCTCACTCTCAATGGGCAAGGGTACCTTGTCTACTGCTCTGCTCTAGGGGTGTGTGTGTGTGGGGGGGGATCTCAGAATGTGTTGCTGAATAAACAGTGCTGAGATTTATAAACTGGGACATCATGATTCCTGTCTCAGGAGAGGACAAAGTCTTGCAAACATCTTGGCATTTCTGCCGCAGAAGCTGTGAGCATTAAGTGGCCTGGGGCAAGCCCCTCACCAGGCAGTAGGGGGGCTCACTGGGCAGGGTGAAGGGCGAGGGGTTGGGATGAGGCTACTTGTCCACCAGTAGTTTAATTCTGGGCAAGTTCCTCTTCACCCCTCGCTCCTGGTCCCCAGCATCCTCTGGGCTTTCCGGGTCCAGGCAGCCGGTACGCTCAGGGAGGCAGTTGTGGTGCAGAGAGAGGAGCACTGGACTTGGAGTCAGAAGACCTGAGTGTGACCCTGGCCCTGACCTTTTGGCTGTGTGCCTCGGGTAAACCTTTCAGCCCGTAGGGGAGGGGTCCTCATCTGTACCATGTGAGTGCTGTCTGCCTTGGTCTACCTCTCAGTAGGCTACGTGAGAGTGGCAGAGAGAAAGCACAAACATGCCTATTTTTAAAATAGTTGTGGATGCAGAGCCCAGTAATACAGGTACCATAGGCAAATTTAGGAAAACCTGGTTCACAATCAGGAAGTGATTTACAAAAGGCTGCAATTCAGGATGTCTGGGTAGCTCAGCGGTTGAGCCTTCAGCTCAGGGCCTGATCCCAGGTCCAGGGATTGAGTCCCATGTCAGGCTCCCTGTGAGGAGCCTGCTTCTCCCTCTGCTTATGTCTCTGCCTCTCTTTTTGTGTCCCTTATGAATAAATAGATAAAATCTTTTAAACACCCCCCTCAAACAAAAAAGGCTTCATCTGTCTAGGGGATTTAATCACATTGGACCCAATGAAGGACTCTGAGACACAGGGTGGGAGGTGGAAAGGGGCAGGGAAGCAAGGGCCTGGAATCTCACTGAGGCCAGCAAGAGGAAATGCATTTGACTTAAAGTTGGAGGTGTTCTGAGTTGGATAAAATGAGGAACTTCCTATCAAGGGAATGAAGTACCTTCATGGCTGACCCAGGAAACCCCAGGGAATCTTATCCCAGAGACCCTCACAAAGGTGCGTCCTATAGGCTTAAATCCTTACCTGTAGGGACTGGATCCAAAGCTCATGGGTACCTCAGGGTTTTAAAGCAAACCCAGGGAGATGCCTGCCTCCAAGCAGGCACACAGTCTTCCTGTGGCTCTGCCCAACTGTGGTCAGAAGCAGCTGGGCTGAGAGTGGGGGTGAGGGAGTCCTAGCACACTGAGACTCAGAACAACCCCAAAAGCGTGGAAGTCTCGGTGTCCATCTGATCCCTGAGTGATGTCACTGGACGTGATGCAGAAAGCTAGAGCCTGGGACTATGAGGGGGGCATCTCTAGGAGTGCCTGGCTTCAAGATCCAAAAATTGGATTATTGCTGATCCAGAGAAAGGAACTGTTTACAAAATCCTCCCTAGGTGAGCTCAGCCCACATATCTGGGACAGGTTGGGGCCCCGCCAAGTCCCAGTGTTAGACCGTGGTCCTGCTCTGGTGGGTCTCCCATTTCGTCAAAGGGCAGGGCCAGCCCTCAAGACAATTGCAATC